CACTGTGGCCTGCACTCTGCTGCCAAAGGGACTGAGAAGAATGCATTAGTGATATCAATTGTGGCATACCACTTGGCTGCCTTTGACTCCAGTTCATACTGAAGTTGTAGCATGTCTGGCACAGCAGCACTCAGTGGTGGTGTGACTTCATTCAGGCCACGATTGTCCACTGTTAGCCTCCATGCTCCATTAGACTTTCTCACTGGCCCTATGGGACTATTTCAAGGGTGAGCGAGTCTTGCTGATCACTCCTTGGCTCTCCAGTTGATGAATCAGCTTATGGGTGGGAACCAGGGAGTCTCAGTTGGTGCGATATTGCCACCAACGCATCTTTGTGGTAGCAATTGGCACCTGTTGCTCTTTCACCCTCAGCAACCCCACAACAGAAGGGTCATCTGAAAGACCAGGCAAGGTAGACAGCTGTTTAATATCCTCCATCTCCAAGGCAGCTATGCCAAAAGCCCACTGGTACCCTTTTGGGTCCTTGAAATGCCCTCTCCTGGGCCAGTCACAATGGGGTGCTTTTGCCACTCATTCCCAGTTAGGCTCACTTCAGATTCCAGTACAGTCAACTGTTCAGATCCCCCGTCACTCCAGAAATACAAATGCCCATAGCTTGATGGCACCAGGGTACACTGTGCACTGGTGTCCACTAGAGCCTTAATACTCCTGTGGGGTGTGACGTGCTAGGCCACTGAATCCACAGTCCAATAAACCCAGTTGTCCCTTTCCTCCACCTGGCTGGAGGCAGGGCCCCTCTAATCCTGGTCATAGGATCTGTTACTCACTTCTTGTGAAAATGACTTGGAAGTCCCTTCAAGAAGATCAGAAGTAAGATCAGGCCTTCCACTCTGTCTGGGGAGCTGTGTGCTGGAAACTGGAGCAGCACTTTTCTTGGAGGGATCCCCTTTTGTGGTTGTTCTTCCTTGCAACTCATGTACCCATGCCCGTAGGGTCGAGGTAGGCTGTCACCTCCTCATGTCCTCTCCATGGTCACGCAGGTAAAACCACAGGACGCCTCATGGTGTGTACCCCTCTATATCCACTCTCTTGAGCAGAGGAATGCTTACTTTTAATAGCTGAGATGCTGGCCTGTACAGGTGGGGAGTAGGACATACTCTCTTCAAGTTGCTGGACCTTCTGGGACAGTTTCTCCACAGCTGAGACGACGGGGGAAGAGAGACTTTCTTCGTATTACCGGAGTTGGCCAGCCACCTCATCCACCGTTGGTCTCTCTTCACCTTTCCATTCCATCACTGCCAAGGAGCTGGCATACGACGATGGCGAGCTCCGTACAAACTTCTGCCACATGGGTTGTGTACACTGGACTTCATCAGGATCTGTGGGTAACCGTGCATTGTCCGGGTTATAATAAACCATCTCCTGCACAGCTAATTCCCTCAGGTACTGGATACCTCTTTCTATGGTGGTCCACTTGCCTGGGTGACATAAAACATCTTCATGCCTGACAGGAGTTGCCTCCAGAGGATGAAGGCTCGTGTCCTTCTTCCAATCACCTTGTGAATGCTCCCTTCCCTAGACAGGGATCCTAGCTGCTTGGCTTCCCTGTCCTCTAAATCTAAGCCACTGGTCTCATTATCCCAGCATTGGAGCAGCCAGGTGACAACATGCTTGCCTGGATGTTGGCTGAAATCTTTTTGCATATCTCGCAGCTCACTCAGGGATAGGGATCGGGTGATTAGCTCTGCTTCTGCCTCTTCTTCCTGTTCTTGTGAGGGCCCTGGTTCATCGTCATCCCTTACTAAGCGAACTGATTTCTTGGTGTATTTCTTCTTCTGTATAGGGGTGACTAATATCGGCATGGGTTGGTTTTCTGGTTCAGGTGCAGTGCCTGCTACCAGGGTTTCAGTAGCCACAATACCTATTGAAGGGATTGGAGGAGTCACAGTGCCTGTTGCAGGGGTTGAAGTAGCTTCGGTGCCTGTCGGTCTGGTTTCCACCACTTTCCCCTGAGGGTCCTGCATAGTACTGAGCAGTGTTTGGTAGATACTGGCCAGGGCCCAGCACAGTGCCATAAGTTGTGCCTCTCTGGAGTAGCCACAGCATTTTCCTTTCAAATATTCTATCACTTTATCAGGGTCCTGTAGTTGTTCGAGGGTGAAGTCCCAAACCATTGGAGGTGAGAAGTTCTCTCGGTCCCTGCCCATATTCTCCCACATGCCATGCCACCCCTGACTATCCAGCCTTGGGGCAGATCTCTGGGTGGTAGTCTTAAACAGTTGTTTAACCCTAAACAAGACCTGAAACACATTCAGGAGACACAGCAATAGGACTATGTGGTTTGAACATTCCCAAGATATTCAAAATTCTCAAGAGGTGTCACACCTGGCCCGAAGGAGAAAAGGGAGGCAAAAGAGCTGGGGAAAGTATCCCCCCCTGTTTACCCCATAGATAGAGTACAATTATTAAAAAATTCTGAGAGATGACGCCAAAGGTACTGGCAGGAAAACAATGCTGCATAAACACACCAACGAAGCTGTGTGAACAGTGATGTTATAAGTCGGTATGTACTGTATCCAGCTTTGGAGTCCTCAGCACAAGAAGGACATGGACCTATTGGAGCGGGTCCAGAGGAAGGCCACGAAGATGATCAGATGGCTGGAGCACCTCTCCTATGAGGACAGGCTGAGAGAGTTGGGGCTGTTCAGCCTGGAGAAGGCTCCAGGGAGACCTTATTGTGGCCTTCCAGTATCTGAAGGGGGCCTACAAGAAAGCTGGAGAGGGACTTTTTACAAGGGTATGTAGTGATAGGATGAGGAGGAATGACTTCAAACTGGAAAAGGAGAGATTTAGCTTAGATATCAGGAAGCAATTTTTCACTCTGAGGGTGGTGAGGCACTGGAACAGGTTGCCCAGAGAGGTTGTTGAGGCCCCATCCCTGGAGGTGTTCAAGGCCAGGCTGGATGGGGCTTTGAGCAACCTGGTCTAGTGGGAGGTGTTCCTGCCCATAGCAGGGGGGTTGGAACTAGATGATCTTTAAGGTCCCTTCAAACCCAAACCATTCTATGATAAAGGAATATACAAACCACCATTAACCTAAAACAGCTCAACAAACCCGCCTGCTCCAGATCGGCAATTCCTTCCACCACCCCCCTCCCCTAACACCTCTCCCAGCCCTTCTGCTGTAAGAAAATGAACCCTATCCCTGCCAGAACCAGGACAGACAGTCATCATCGACTCCCTTCTGAGGGGAACAGAAGCATTCATTTGCAGACCAGACACTCTTTTCAGGGAAGTTTTGCTGCCTCCCTGGGGCCCAAATTAGGGATGTCACCACAAGACTGAAGATCTTAGTGCAACCTTCAGACTACTATCCATTCCTGTTCTTACACATGGGTACCAGTGATGTCACAACAAAAAGTCTGAGGTCAATCAAAAGAGATTTCAGAGCCCTGGGAAGAATGCTAAAAAAATCAGGACCACAGGTAGCGTTTTAAATCAATCCTCCCAGTGATGGGGAGAGACTTTGGAAGAAACAGATGAGCCCAGGATATCAATACCTGGCTCCAGGACTGGTGCCTCCACTGAAACTTTGGGTTTTGTAACCACAGAAGAGTCTTTGAAACATAAGGTATGCTGGAGCCTGACAGGATCCACCTGTCCCGATGGGGAAAATGCACCTTTGGGCATAAGCTGGCAGGACTGATTGAGAGGGCTTTTAACTAGAATCGATGGAGGAAGGGGGTGCCAACAGGAGAGCTGAAGGTAAACCAAGAGTTGGCGTGGCATCCCTGGAGGGTGGCAATACTGGTGGGAACATTTACGCTGCTTCTGGGAGCATGGAGGGCTCAGGAGTATATCTGAAATGCATGTACACCAACACACGCAGCATGAGAAACAAACAGGATGAACTGGAAGCATTGGTTAGTTCCCAGAGCTATGATGTTATTGGTGTTAGTGAGACTTGGTGGAATGAGTCCCATGACTGGAGTGCTGGGATGGAGGGCTACAGGCTGTTCAAGAGGGGCAGGCAAGGTGGAGATGTCGCACTACACATAAGGTTTGATTATATGGCCCCTACAGTTAGCTATGATGTGGTTGAGAGCCTCTGGGTGAGGATTAAGGGGATGGAAAACAAGGATGTCGTAGTGGGTGTCTACTATCGATCGCCCATCGAAGATGACAGCACTGATGAGTTGTTCTATAGGCAGTTAGGAGAAATCTCTGGATCAGTAGCCCTTGTCCTTATGGAAGATTTCAAATTCCTAGACATCAGCTGGGAATACCATGCTGCTGTGATGACCAAGACTGGGAAATTCCTGAAGTTTTTTGAAGATAACTTCTTGTCACAAGTACTCAGGGAGCCAACTAGGAAAGAAGCCCTCCTAGACTTGTTGTTTGTGAATAGAGAAGGACTCGTGGGAGATGTGATGGTAGGTGACTGTCTTGGCCACAGTAATCACAAAATGGCCGAGTTTAAAATTTTTGGTGCAATGAGAAAAAAGGTCAGCAGAGTTGCTACCCTGGATTTCAAGAGAGCAAACTTGCCCAGGAAGGTGGTTGAGTCACCATCCCTGGACGTGTTTAAGAGCCGTTTAGATGTGGTGTTGGGGGATATGGTGTAGTGGAGAACTTTGTAGACTAGGGTAGATGGTTGGACTCAATGATCCCAAGAGTCTCTTCCAACCTAGACAATTCTATGATTCTAACTTTAAGCTACTCAGGGAGCTACTTAGCAGTGTCCCCTAGGAATCTGGTTTTGAGGGCTTAGGGGTCCATGAGTGCTGGTCATTTTTTAAGAACCACCTTTTAGAAGCATAGGAGCAGGCAATCCCATTGTGTCAAAAGTCAAGCTTGGCTGAACAGGGAACTCTTGGAACTTAGGAGGAAAAAGAAATTTTATGAGCTCTGGAAGCAAGGTCAGGCTTTGCAGGAAGGTTACAGAGCCGTGGTTTGCACATGCAGGGAGAAGACAAAAGGCCAAAGTTCAATTAGAGTTGAAACTGGCCAACGTTGTGTCAGACAACAAGAAAGGCTTTTTAAAGTGCACTGATAGCAAGAGGAGGTGCAAGGAAAACATTGGACCAATACTTGTTGAACACGGCCACCTGACAAATAGGGATGAAGAAAAAGCAGAGGCATTCAGTGCTTTTTTTTTGGCCTCAGTCTTTCATAATACTGATAGGGAACCAGGCAGCGCAAGATCTGAGTCAGAGGACCATGACTGTGGAAACAGTGACTTTCCATTTGTGGACACTGAAATTGTAAGGAAACAGCTCTATCACCTGAACGTTCACAAGTCCATGGGGCCTGATGGGATTCAGCTAGCAGATGTTATGACAGGACCCCTCTCAATCATCTACCAAAGGTCTTGGGAGTCTGGGGAGGTCCCTGCTGACTGGAAGCTAGCCAATGTTATTCCACTTTACAAGAAGGGCATGAGGGAAGACCCAGGAAACTACAGACCTGTTAGACTAACCTCAGTTCATGGAAAAATTACAGAGAAGGTCATACTGGGTGCTACTGAAAGGCATTTAAAGGACAATGCAATCATCAGGCACACTCAACATGGGTTCACAAAGGGAAAGTCCTGTTTAACTAATCCTTCTATGATAAGGTCACCCACCTAGTGGATGAAGGGAAGGATATAGTTTCTCTGGATTTTAGCAAGGCTTTTGATACTGTCCCTCACAGCATCCTTCTGGATAAGTTGTCCAACTGTGAGATGAGCAGGTGCATGGTGCACTGGGTGAAGAACTGGCTGAACGGCAGGGCTCAAAGGGTTCTAGTGAATGGGGCTACATCTGGCTGGTGACTGGTCACCAGTGGTGTTCCTCAGGGTTCAATTCTAGAGCCAGTTCTCTTCAATATTTTTATCAATGATCTGGATGCAGGAGTCAAATGCACCATTAGCAAGTTTGCTGATGATACCAAACTGGGAGGGGTGCTGTTGACTCTCTTGAGGAACAAAATGCCTTGCAGAGGGATCTAGACAGATCGGAGCATTGGGCAATCAATTCATGGCATGAAATTTAACCAGTCCAAATGCCAGATTCTGCATCTGGGACAGAGTAATGCTGGGCAGGAGTATAAATTTGGGGAGGAATGGTGGAGAGCAGCCCTGCAGAAAGGGATCTGGGGGTGCTGGTTGACAGCAGGCTCAATATGAGCCAGAACTGTGCCCTGGCAGCCAAGAGGGCAAACTGCATCCTGGGCTGCATCAAACAGCATAACCAGCCAGTGACTATCCTGCTGTATTTAGCATTTGTGCAGCCTCACCTTGAGTACTGTGTGCAGTTCTGGGTCCCACAATTTAAGAAGGATGTTAAGGTCCTTGAATGCATCCAGAGGAGGGCAACAAAGGGGGTGAAAAGGCTGGAAGGCATGTCCTTTGAGGAGTGGCTAAGGATCCTGGTTTTGCCTAGTTTGGAGAAAAGGAGGCTGACCTCATTGCTCTCAACAGCTTCCTGAGGAGGGGAAGTGGAGAAGGAGGTGCTGATCTCTTCTCCCTGGTATACAGTGACAGGACACGTGGGAATGGTTCAATGCTGCACCAGGGAGGTTCAGACTTGACATTAGGAAGCATTTCTTTACAGAGAGGGTGGTCACACACTGGAACAGGCTTCCTAGACAGGTGGCCGATGCCCCATGCTTGTCAGTGTTTAAGAGGCATTTGGACAATGCCCTTAATTTAATTTTTGGTCAGCCCTGAAGTGGTCAGGCAGTTGAACTAGATGATCATTGTAGGTCCCTTCCAACTGAAATATTCTATTCTATTCTACTCACATCTTAAATTTAAGCATTCACAATACTTTTCTCTGATCATCTCTGAGCCTCTTCAGAGCAAAGACTACTCACCTTTCAAAGCTGATGCACCAAAGTCCTACCACTGGTCACATTCTTTGTTGTGATCCACATGGTTAAAAACCAACTATTAAGGTTACCAGGAACTTAGGACTCACATATTTTAAAGAATTTCAAAGAATTATTATTCTTCCACTTGCACAACAACAACTTCAAAAAGGTCACTTGAAATAGTATCCCCATGTGCCTTTAAAACCATTGCAGGTAAGGGTTCCCAGATCTTGAAAGGAAGCCTTTCACCCATCCTACATGGGTTTTTTTGCAAGATGTATTGTTCCCTATGCATGAAAGTGGGGGAAAAAAGTACTAGTGAACAAATGAAGACTGATGGCTAATACTTGGTTCATAGTACACTGGAGAGAAACATCAGGAACATTCAAGTGCTACGCCTTTTTAAATCCATAGCAAAGTGATCCTTGAGACTCCAGAAACATTATTTAAGTGGGTACCAATTTGTTTGTCAAACCTGGACACAGCATTCTAGACTTTTTACTGAAAAAGTCTTTTGAAAGAGAGGCTTTAATGAATGCATATTTTCTACATGTGGGATTATTAGACTTCACATCTGAGTAATTATTCTATAAATAAGTTCTTGAAGGCAGAAGCTGGAAAAGGACAAGAATAGATTACCCATATTGCACTCATACTAATGTTTGTCTGTTGGAAAAAGCTGAGAACCTAGTGATGACATCCTGAGGAACATTCACACACTGCTGCCAAATATTTTAAGAGACTGCAAGTTACAATGTGTAAATGGAAAAGCCTTTTTATTTATTTATTTATTTAATATGATCCTATTTACCACCTTCATATAAATTGAGTGTTTTCATGAAAATGAGATCAGACAAATTCACCTTGGAACCCTGGCTAAAGCAATCTCGGAATTGGTAATAATTATCTGGAGAATTTGTGCCTCCAGCAGATTCAAAAAGGGAAAAACAGTCCCTTCAAAGGGATGGTAAAGGACTGCCCAGAGTATTATATATAGGCTGTATGATTTAAGTACATACTAGAAGAATAATTTCTCTATAAGGATTGAGATAATAACAAAGTTGTAGTATTCCAAAGTAAATTTGTTAAGAGTAAGTATCATCAAATTAAAATAATTTTATTACGTAAAGCAATCAGTCTTGTGGGTTAAGGAGAATTGAGTGTCATGCCTGGACTTTAGCATGGCTTTCTATATAGCTTCTCGTAACAATTTCACCAACAACCTGAGATAGTAGGGTCTAAATAAAAATACTGCAAGATTGCAGTATATCCTATTGCAAAACTGTTCAGAGTATCAGTTGTTCTTGATAAAAATGGATGAACAGAATACGGGTGAACAAGTGCAGCTTTTCAGAGGACTGTCTTAAGAACAGTAGTATAAAATATTTGTCATTAATAACTTTTCATGTAACAGAAATAGAGAGTATTTTATTAATCTAAAGATCATAACGAGCTTTTGGTGTCAAGTCTTTGGGAGAGAGGACCACGACTGCTATTAAAAAAAAAAAGAATATAGATTTACAGTTTTCTTGACTAATTGGAATAACCTTTTGAAACAAAAGAAATTCAGTAAGAAGCAGCACAGACTTTTTATTCACCTGAGAAAGAGCAATTGTAACATCATGAGAGGAAGATAGATAAGCTCTACAGAAAGACAGCAATATGTTTATAACAGCTTGCAAGACAAATATAAGTTATCACCAAAGAGCAGCTATATTCATATATGACAGTAGTATCATACAAGGTCATGTACAGTACTTTTCTGACTGGTCATCCTTCTAAGTCTTCAAATAGTTATATCTACAACTTAGGGCAGTACAACATCAAGACAAATGCAGACCAATTAGAATTCGGATAAAAACATCAAAGACAATTAAAAGCTCAGAAATTATTACTTATGTAAAGATGATAGAAAGAAACCGCACTGTTCAGTCTGTAGAAGATTAGATTAGTGTAAGACACGATAACATTCTTTGATATGTAAATGATTGCTATAAATAAAAAAAAGGACGCAAATTGTTTTTCCTTGCCCACTGGAAAGAAGTCAAGACGTGTCATGCCTAACTGCAACAACAATGATTCAGGCTAAGCATTAGGAGAAAAGCTTTAGAATCATAGAATTGTCTAGGTTGGAAGAGACCCTTGGGATCATCAAGTCCAACCATCTACCCTACTCTACAAAGTTCTCCCCTACACCATATCCTCCAACACCGCATCTAAATGGCTCTTAAACACATCCAGGAATGGTGACTCAACCACCTCCCTGGGCAGCCTATTCCAATGCCTGACCACTCTTTCTGTGAAAAATTCTTTCCTAATGTTCAGTCTAAATCTACCCTGTTGGAGCTTGAAGCCGTTCCCTCTTGTTCTGTCATTAATTACCTGTGAGAAGAGACCAGCACCAACCTCTCTACAGTGTCCTTTCAAATAGTTGTAGAG